ACACACACACACACACACACACACACACACACACACACGCACGCACGCACGCATCCCCCCGCGCGCGTGACAAACATGGACTTTAAACATGAAGGTTTATTACATCCACACTGGCGAGGTGGGGCGCCCTGTGCGTGTATCTAAAGCGTGACTTTTGCTGTCCTGCTGTTCTTGTCGTGGAGGGGTCTGTGGGTCAGGGAGGGGTCTGTGGGTCAGGGTCGTCTGAGGAGGAAGAAGATGAATGGAGTTGCACACGGGAACTTTTATTTACGATTTAAGTTTTTTTTTCATTTCAAAGGTCCTCATGGCTCAGCAGCAGAAACATAAATATTGCTGTTAAGAAAGCTGATGATAAAGTTGAATAAAAATCTAAGTCTGATGAAGGTAAATTAAATCTCTGACAGTGATCATTACACAGTGTGGCTCTAATTCTTCACTTCACCACCTGTGTTGCAGTTTCACGTCTCCAAAATGAGCGTACGCATGGATCAGAGCTGGCGTGAGGCACCGCACATTTTCACGTCAAGTTTGGAATTTARAAATCACAACCTTGGTGTAAAAAGTGGCATACGCAAGTTTCTGGGCTCAAATTGTGCGTTCGCCAGTTTTATAAATCCGACCCCAGGCGCGTGCGCACCCTCGCCAGCCGGGAAGCTGTTCATTTGTGTCAACCCCTTTGGACGTTTACCTGTCTAATGAGCCTCAAAAATCTATATTTTTTGCTAAAAATCTGTAGGCTAACACTCGTATCCGCTCGTGGCGATGGGGTGGGGGTCTGTCCGTGGAGATGACAGCGCCTTCTGTAACGCAGGAGCAAAGGAGAGTGGAAAAAGTGGATAATGGGTTGTTTTTGTTTGTTTTCTTTTAGTTTAGTTTAGTTTTTTAACGTCCGTTCAACGCCGTGTTCAACTAAATAGACAACAACTAACCAGGCTTTAATATCACATTCAGGAGATGTCTGTAAATTTCTGGAAAATCTCAGGCTTTGGTTATCCCGTGCAAATGCGCCACATAAGACAATGTCACCCCACTCCTTATTTAGACTGTTTTCTCACTCATTCTCCATTTAATTTATATTTTCCCTGCATCTAAAAATCATTTCTGATCCCACAGAGAGGACAATCGGAGGAGAATCTCACACTCTGGACACATTTACATCTATTTTACATATTTAAACGGAGGTGTGTCAGGGGAGGTTTCTCACGTGCGCTCAGTTCCACGTTCATTGGGATGTATAAAGGAAAGGTGCGCAGGAACCTGCGTACACATGGATTTATACATCTGAATATTTTGGTGCGGCGCACATTTCTAAATTTGTCCGTAGGTCAACTTTTAGTGTGAAAGCTGCGCAATCCTTTATGCATGAGGCCCCTGGTGGTTAATGAATATATACATGCAGTTATGAGTTCTCTTGCAGCTGATGTGGTAATGAAGACAGAGTGAACACATCAGTTATACAATCAATTTAAAAAAAAACTCTTCTTGGCTGAGCTCTTTCTATAAATATGGACTTTATCTTTTAGATAATTGAAAAGAGCAGAGTCTGAAAACACAAATCATGTTTCTTTGTTTCCATATGCATTCAGACATGGAAAACAAAACTAAATTCAATATGTTTCTATGCTTTTTAAGGCTGCAGATGAACATTTGTGTTGATCTTGTAAAGTGATAGTGCACTTCAGAGAAAGAGAGGACATCCTGCTGACCAACACAGCTGAGAGAAATCTGGGTCAAAGATCATCTCCACAGTAAGTAACTTCTGCTCCTGCTCCGTGACATTTGTTGACTTCAGACAGAGAACAAACAGCGACAGACTGAACACCATYAAACTACAGCGAGAAAAATTACACAGATCTTTAAACAATAAATAACAATATCAGGAACCAGCATGTTAGCTGACGTTTTGCCCCTACGCGGAAGGATTAAGCTAAAGCATCAATAAGTTTGAGCTTTTTCTTAGTTTTGAAAAGCTTGTTATTGTTCCTCCTCCTGCACTCGTCACAACACAACCAAACCCAGCCAATGAAAACAACAAAAGAACTAAAACATCATATTATGAATATGTGCAAATAAACATACAACACCTCTTTAAATAAGTGTTCAGTATTAACAGAGCAAGTTGAAACTTACCCTTATGGCTTGAGTTTTTGTGTACAACTGCTTTTACCGCTTAACATCACACAGTTGTGATTACTGCATTTCCTGTGAACTTTTCAAAATAAAACTCTTATTGAATAAAATGAACATCAGCACACCTTGATACTGGTTTATGCGTCAATATTAAATATACTTGACGATTTACTTTAACAAAGCATCTTTAGTGTTATTTTAATCATTAGATAAAACCTTATTCTTTATGTGTTAAAGCAAATCGTAAGCATTAATTTTGAAAAAAAGCTCATTGGCGTTCTAGCATATCCGGCAACGCTTTACTCTACGTCCTTCCAATCACTGACCGTCAGTGCCAGTATGTCGTGCTGTAATTGGTAAATACACAAAATATCGGACCAATCAAGGATTATCTTTTTGGTCCGCGAGAAAGAAAGAAAAAATATTGAAACGAGTTAGCAGTGTCGTCAAGGTCAGTCGGGACTTTATATTTAAATTTGTTTGAATATAAGAAGTTTGTAAAAGAAGTCTACTGTAATAGCCAAGCGATTAACTGTCTTTTCCGGGAAGGGTTGCATGGAGAGCTGGTTCCTAATTTTCTCTGCTAGAGTTACCGTATCAGCATGCCATTGGTTTCCTAGTAGTAGCAAACCATTAACTTGCCAAATAAACAGTTCAGAGTAACTGGGAGATTAATATAGCTAACGCAAACATTTGATTCTTATCTTAGCATGTTTTTTCTACGTACAGGTGAGAGAAATCTAAGCTGAAGAACCGTAATGGGACACATCCACGCTTAACACCTTACTAAATATATATAAAACAGCAGGAAAACTAAATCGTAAAAAATTCTTCGTGGACAAATTAAGTACAGTAATAAGAAAGCAATAATACGAATTACTGTGGAAAACAATACAAATATATGTATATGTATACATGAGTATTGTACAGTACAACAATATCTTGGCTGAATTATGAGTTTCAATGATTTTAATACAAAAGCAGTTCTTTTATGAAAGCTGTGAGGGGTGTGATTTGATGCAGTTACATTTGGAGATAAAAAAAAATAACTACCTACCATAAGTAGGTCATTTAGTAGATTATGACATCCCCCCACCCCCACCCCCCTTCAGATTAGCCCCACATACAGCAGCATTCATATCAACCTTGGAGAAAAGAGAGTTTGAGACTAACCAGTCATAGAAATCACACCATTACTGACGGGACACAAACAGATTATCTGTAGTCTCAGTTTCTTTGTTACAGAATGTGCAATTATTATAAAGTTCAATTTTGTGCAAAGTAAATCTGGTGAGGGATAACATTTATTATTTGCACAATTAAAAATGTGATTTTTATTTTTTTTATTTTTTGGAGGTACATGAAAACAGTAATTTGATACAATGGGCCTCATGCAAGAACATGTTCGTATTCTTATCCTAAATTTCTCTTACTTTTGTTCGTACGAAGGGTTCGTACGAACATGTCACGTCAGATTCAACAAACTCTTCTATCTTCAGGAAAAAGGGCTCGACACACGGGAGGCGACGTCGCTCGCTCTCCATTCATTTCCTATGGAGCCTGTGCAGTGAGGCGACAATCTCTTGCCCTCCTCCAGCCAAGCGACCGGCGAAAATAGTGCATGTAAAATTTCACGCTCGTAGATGTGCACGCGCGAGCTTGCGACGCGACATATGAAAGTTGAAAAATGTTCAACTTTTGTCACTGTCGCTTAGCGTACAACCAATCAG